TAGTTGCCTGAGACGCCTGCATCCATACTTCATCTTCCTCAGGCTCTGCTGTGTCCAAACTTTGCAAAGCCAACATTGCTACAGACAGCTCAGCATGCTCGGTGCATCAAGGCTTCGTCATGCTGCCAATGTTGCCGAGGAGGGAGGACCTCAACATTCCGGCGCAAACAAACCGCTACGCAAACAGTGTAATTGGAGATATCTCAAACCGCGTTGCGTGCCTTGATGGCCACGAAACACAAATCCTAACACTACTTGGAGGCTACCATCGAGTATTATGTTTCGGACCCCCTCCCCACCCCCTGCTTGGCTCCAAGACCCGGTGTGAATGCCAATGCGGATCGACAAAGGTGTTAACTCCTCAGTTTTGTAAATGTCTGTCAGGACAAGGAACATGAGCGATCTGAGATCCAAACCAACACCTTCAGTTCGTCATTGACATGGCAGAGTGCCTGAGCCCAGGGTCTGCCAAATTTATGCAACTGCAAGCATGTTTAGAACTTCCTCTGCACCTGTCAGTGCCAACCTGTGGATTGCCCGCTTACGGCGCTGGTTATGGAGGTCCCCAAAAGCACGAGACTATTAGCTGCATGTAGATGCTTCCCCGCATTACGTGCGAGCCTGTGCTGCATTGACATCCTAGACTGTTAATACCAAGCATGCCACCTGCTGTTGTGTCAGTGCTGCAGCGCATGCTGCAGTAGCATGATCTTCCACCTCGCTGGCAGTTTTCTGCAACCCATGCTGCTGCTACGCCATAAGAGTATTCCCGCAAGCTGAGTGTGCCACATGGTCAGGGGCGTTCCACAGAACGATCAGCCCGTCGCCCAAAATTTCTGAGACGACTCCTGACGTAACAGTGACAATTTCCTTGCAAACGCCTGTAACAGCTGTGATCTGCTTCTGGCAAGTACTTGGGTAATTGGGTATGGTCCAGAACCCAGAGATTTAGTTGGATCCCCTCTCAGAACTCAACCTGCAAACATGTCTTCGGAAACCGGCCTTGGTAGATGTCCACTACACTCATCATAACCTCGGGCTTGCGCTTTAGGAGTCGACGCCGGTCCGTAAAACTTGCAGGGCTGCATGCAGGCAACATCTGAGTCTGGAACCGAAAAATAGCGGGTCAAAATGAAGTACAGGTCCCGCCTAAGCTCTGGCAACTCTACCTGTCAGCAATTTGAAGCCGACTGACAGGGAGCAGCTTATCAGAGCCCTCTTAGCGCAGTGCAACACCAATAGTTCGGTGATGCTGGTGAAGCTTGCAATGTCAGTGCACCTGCAGAACAAGCACTGTCGGGAAGGCAGTCTGCGGCCCACAGCGTGCAGTTGTGTACAGCCTAGTGCAGGCCTGCAGGAAGGGCAGCTGTCATCAAGTGCAAAAACCGTTTACTCATGAAATATCTCGAGGAGACTTGGCTCGCATGATAGTTGGTTTGAGATCGCGGCATAACGGTGACAACTCGTCGGTCAACCTGGCTGTTGCAGGACAAACACAGCACGCCGAAGTGGTATCTCTGTTTTGCACAGCATGCAGCCCAAATGCACATGGTGATGCGTCCATGCTGGTTCAGGATTGAGACGCTTTCACTTTTGCCTTTCCTCCTGTCCTATTCCTCAAGGTCTTCTGCAAGCTCTGTCTTCGGCAAGCGCCGGCTAGCTTTCGTGCGGCTGTGATAGCTGAGAGTTCTTTGAGGGAAGTTGAACGCACGCAGTAACTTTGCAAGGGATCTATACTAAGGATGCTTCGGTTCAAAGCATGCTGTGGCCCTGCCTTCAAACGGGTCGCAAATGTGTCACCCTGGCTAACGATGTTGCGGACCTAAGATCCGAGATGATCGACAAGACCCACGGAGCTGTGGAAGCCAGGGCTGCGGCAACTGTCTGAGGCACAAAGCGCGCAAACATTCGAATGCCACGAGCTAAGCGTCCAAACCTTGCTAATTTGTGCTTTGATTTTGCCATGTCCGGAACGTGTACGAACGGTGCACATTCAGCTGGAAACGCAATTTCCAGCTCGGCGACGTCCTGAATGAAAGAGCTCCTGGCCACAAATTGGCTCCACACCATTCTCTTGGCAATGGCTATTGTTTCATTCTGAACGCGTATGAGAGCATTTGTTCAACCACAGCAGCTCCAGTGTTTCCTGAACTCCTGAAAGCTTTGAGAAGCAAGCCCCGCACAGGCAAGCAGCCTTCCACTGCGGCATGCAATGGCATTCTCAGGCCTTAGCGAGAGAGTGCATGAATCAATCTAAAGGCGTCGTTTGCGTGAGGGCTCCACCCGAAGTCTAGCTCGCTAAGCTTGTCCATGAGGTCGGTCAAGTGTCTGCACAGTGGCACCCAATCTGCATTAGACAGATGCCAGGACCATGCATAGCCCATACTTGTCGATGGCGCCAAGAAGCGAGATGATGTATTGCAGGCAATGCGTGTGCGTGCGTGCATGTCCCTGCAAAGATCCTTTCTGGCATGACATGAGGTTTCCATACCGGATTTGTAGGCGATTCCCGGGCCTAAGTGGTCCTGCCACCATTCGGCCAACCAGGAGCGAAAGAGAGACGCTGAGAAGGGTCATGACCTGACGCAGATGCTGAACAGCAGAACTGCTTCTGTACATGCATCAATGACCACATGTGATTTAGACTCATGACGTGACTTGAACATCTGAGACTGGTACCAGCAGCACATACAGGCCTCTTGCGCGGCCCTGGCCACCATGACTTCGAAAAGGCATATGCTTGGGCAAGAGTTGGGAAATGAAGAATCTTTGATCAGAGCCTGACCAAACCATGTACCCGACCGCAAACTGTCAGGAAGGGTCCGGCGAGCTCCAGGACCCAAAGCATGCAGCCATGTTTTGCCCCAAATTCTCACATGCCATGCAGATGTACTGACTTGAATCATCGTGACAACTCTTGTTTCGCCCATCCCCCCCTCATCCTTCTCATCTCCTCACTACCCGAACCCTCGAGGTCACTGATAACACTCTCATTCCAGTGGAAGGATCAGCTTAGGATATCAAATCATACTCAACCAACTCATGTTGCAGCAACTTTACTCATAATTACTCTACATGTCAGGCTCGGTCCATGAGGATGCCTTCTCCAAGTGGTCCATGGTTGATCTCTCAAAAGAGGCCACCTGCCAAGTCAGAAATATCGTCAAGTTTGGCTGTTGAACAAGGATGCCTTCTGGTCAACCCTGTCTTCCACATCGGCCTCAACTTCAGAGCAACTGTTCAAGCCTGTACCTGCTCTGCTGTTCTCAGGATCAGGCCACCGTTCCGGTGTAAATATCAGAATGGAGGACAGTGACAAGTAGCCACCTGAAACCATTGCAGCGCTGCCATGAGCTGAGGCTGCAGGACCAAAATTGCAAACGGTTCATTACAGACATCATGGACCGTTAAGCTCAAGAAAGCGCGAAGCCTTGTGCGAGAGTCCATCTGAATTGACGTGCTTGCAGTCAGATAGCAGTCAGACTGCACGCCTCCCAAGAAGCAAAGAAACCGCAACAACTTGATCAACATTGTAACCTCGAAGTGGGTCAGACACCATGCGCACCTGTTCTATCAACGGGCGAACAGTGGATGTCTCGCGCTCCGCTGGAGACCGCCGCCCAACTGAAATTCATGAGGCGCCTGTCTTATGCTGCCAGGGCTTGCCGCAGAGTCTTCTTCGTTTTGCTTCAGCAAGTGGAGTCTCTAGGCCTTGGCACTGGCTCCAGCAGCTCAGCGCTTCTCCACGAACCATACCTGGGGACAGTCAGGCATCAAGCATACCCTCATTGCCCTTAAACATGCCAGAATTTGCCAGACTCTACGCACAAATCTGTGTCGCGCACTGCCGCAGGATGGCACGCGAGGCCACAGAAGCCAAGTCCTGCGCATGGGTAGTGGCACGGGTGTGAACTTCTGCTGGTTCTTGACCCAGCCTCCTGGTTGGGCATGTCATTAGCGGGCGCCTGCCGGAGAATCAAGCAGCAGCTGCAGCATGTTGCAGCAATAGCAAACCGCACGGAAGTGCTGTCACTTGGCCGCATATAACAGGTGCCATGTTCTGCTTTTTTTGAAAACAGGCAGGGGTCAAGACCAATCCTTCTTTGGGCTTCGTCTTGCATCACGGCTCCCCAAGTTACACGGCACAAAGTTGTGCACAGCAGCGATACGCAGTTTGGCACCAATTGCAGGAGAATCTACCTTAGCTGCCACCCACGCGCCAAGCGCTTCTCCCGCGGACCAAACATGCTTTGAGTCACTTAAGTCGGGTCCTGAAAGGCAGGGAGCCCAGGATTGGTACTCGAAGCTCTGCACTGGATCTACTGTGATCCAAGATCCGAGGGCTCCGGAGCAGAATTGCACCCAAGACCCTTCTAGGACCACGGGCAGGCGAATGCAGGCGAGCTGCAATTCAGCACTGAGATGACCTTCCTCGGCTTCGTCAGCATGCTGGCCAAGCCTGCATGCGAGGGCTGCGGGTCTGCTGGCAGTGTTATCGTGGTAGCGGGCAAATCGTTCAATGGATGACGATGATGCTGCTGACTCCGGCAGTCACCCGAAGATGGCGCACCAGACGGATGCCCTGCAACCCTCTGCCTCTCAGCATCCTCCAGCGACGTCTGCAGGGGCCGAGGCTGGGATGATTCAAGGCTGAAACGCTTTCGCAATACCGCGGCTCAAAGCACAGGTTTGTTCCGAAAGGGGCAGTGAACATCTCAATCTGCTGGGCGGCACCAAGAACTAGAAGAACCAAAAGAGATGGATCATGACGAGCTCGAAAATCTAACCAGGATCAGGCGCGGTTTCTATTGTAGCTTGCCTTTCCACCTGATCTGCTACACTATATGTTGAATAAAGCACTCTGCGCACTAATTTCTGGACAAGCTTGCTCTCAAAATTGACGCTGCTAGAAGCACTGACATTGAACCTCTGTACTCTGCAATGATTCGCGGCTGGAGGCGTCGTCTCTGCGCTGCGCTAGAAACTGAAGCAGGTGACGTTCATTGGACGCGCATGCATGTGATGCAAGTGATTCTCCTTGCTACACAGGAGCTGGATGCAGCAAAACCTTCAACACCTGGGCTTCCTGCATACGACAGCAGCAGCGCATCAGCAGGAACCTGTCCTGGCTTTGTTGCTGCTCCATAGGTGGAGCACAAGCTCATTGGGTCGGATTTGAGGTGAGCGTCTCAAAGCTTGTCTCAAAGATCGCAGCAGGCCAGACACTTCTTGCTGAGTTGGCCTGCGCAGGGGTTCAGCTGAGACGTCTAACGCCATTTTGTGCCCCAACATGCTTGAACCATGACGAGCCTGTCTGTTGTTGACCTGGAGAAAACTTCCTCGACTTCCGAGTCGGATATCTGACTTTCGCGCATTTTCCTTGGCTGTTGTTCACGCATGCGCTTTACTTCAGTCACCTGCGTGAACCCAAAGACAACCACTAGGAAAGTTAAGTTTTCATGCAGGCGCTCGTAGAGATACTTGTTAAAAACTTCTTTATCCTTCCAAGGCTCGTGAGCACCAGCCCGAAGAAAGCTATCTCACACCTGCTGAGTTTGAAGGCCAACAGCCCATCCCCGATTGTCGCCCACTACCCTAGCCGCTAGCCCATCTGCAAAGAAGTCTTTGCTTCGGGACATGGTCTGGAAGCCAAGATTTGAGAGACCTGGCTTTAGTGGCTGCAAGTTACGCGAATAGAAGACGTACACAGTCGCTGTGTGGGATGATAATGATGCCCCTAGCCACTGCAATCTAAGACGCTTGAGATGGGCTGCTTGTATAAGAGCTAGCCTCTGTACCTGCTCCAGTTTTGAAACATGGTCCAGCTTTGACCAAGTGACTGACGCGCGGCAGCTGCCACTGGTTCAGAGTCCTTGCAGGCTGTAGACCAGTGGTCGTGCTCAAGCGCGTGTCTACGCATCGATAAAGCATGCAGCGTTGTCTGCACAAGTATCTCGATGTTGCACGGCAGGACTACGACGTGCTAGGGTGAGCTTGTTCCGCGGAATCCGCCAGCATGCTGCTCTCCTGGATGGCACCCTGAGACTCCATTTCTTCTGGGTAGAACGCCCATCCCAAGTGGCGATTGCAATGGCTGCCTGATGGCAACTGAAACAATTGAAACATCTAACAACGTCCAATTTTCACGTCTGTCCGAGGGCATGGCAGTGGGCCATTGCCCAAGCAAAGCCTGGAAACCATGAGAATTCCGCCGTGGGGTTCCCTTCCTCGATGCATCATTGAAGACAGGCATGTCTGCACAGCTTCTGGCTCTTGCCGGGTCTCTACTGCCAAACTTCGATGTAGGCCTGTCGGAAGCACTCGCACCTCAGAGTGCTGCAGGGGAGAATTCAAGCCAAGCAGGTGAAGCATTGTCATCTCCGTTGTCTTCATCTTCTGGCTCTTTTTTGAGGGAACAAAGACCCAGATAAATCACGCCGTTTCCTTGAAACTTGATCCTGGGCTTGGCCGCTGGCCACGTCGAACCTGTGATCGTGGGCGTTGGTGGCTGAATAGCACCTGCACTCGATTGGATGATACTGGATGTACCTCCCACCATCCTGTGGACTGCAAGTCTAGTCCATTCCGGATCGTGAATGGCCTGGTCTCTTCATCCCTTTTGCCGGCAAGGCACCAAACTTGCTGCTCCAACACACCTAGCTCGTACACCCAAGCCACCTCAAGGTGCAGCACTGAAGTTCCCGCTATTCTGGCACTGTGCGCACTGAGTCCTCTTGCCTCTCGTGCGGTCAAGCAAAATTAACAAGCGCTGCGGAACATGTGCTGATTCCAAGTTTGTGCCAAGCGTCATCTTTCCGACACTCAAACCTGAGCAAACCCTGCGTTGGGATCAGGCGCAAGGGCGAGGAGCAACGACTTGGCGAAATCTGTGGAATGCTTCAGAATTCTTGTCTTGTACTGACTTTGAAGGCTTCGAGGCGTTAGTCAGAAATTTGGGAGCTTTGACGTTGCTTTTCAAGAAGCTTCTCCTCGATGAGCTCCTCTGCCCGAACGAGAGGGTATGTGCAGGCCGCGCAGACCAGCCAGGAGCTCCGGGATCCCTCCTCCAGCGAATCAAGACAAAGTAGATTTTTGTTGGCGGACAACACGTGCAGACACTGCGCGCAGACACATTCGCGAACCTCCTTCTCAGGTTCCATCTCTCCAGTAGCTTGGCATCAGGTACGCATGGGTGCAAAGCAGTGATGCGTCCACTAGGTGTGCTGTGCTTCCAAGCAAATGGCTTGCTCGAGTCTTGTGTGCGATCTATCGCTTTAGCATGATGGCTGCCACATATGCAAGACTTTGCTGAGCCATCTGCATCATCAGAAGTCAATTCAGATCCCAGCACACTAATTACAAGGCACTACATGTGCTCCCAGCCTGTGCTATCCTGACACCCTCTTGTTGAGGGAAGCTCTCAGAGACCTGCCACATTCAATCAGAAATTGGAAGCTCATTGATCCGTTTGCAGTCTCTTGCTGTTCAAGAGGGGATGCATCATTCCTGTCCCACTTCAGATACTCACAAGCTGATGTACATCTTCTGATGGTCAAACAAGCCAAGAAATGACAAAGAAACAACTCCTTGCCTGGTTGATCAGCAAGATGCTGGAACTGTTCCTGTTGCGAGCTGGATTTTGTATGGCCATTTTGGACTCGCAACATGTAGGACCGATCCTCAATCCTTGCGTTTTACAAATCTCAGAAGTCCGCCATCTTGGTTTGCTGAGACGAGCAAGGACCCCAGACAGACTGTGAAGACACCCCACAAAATACTCAAAATTAGCTGATGCAAGCTCACTTCAGAAGCCAGGATCCCATAGTTGGCTGTGCTGCAAGTGCTTGTGCCGTCCTTGGGAGCATCGTAGTGGAGCTCGTGAAAGACAAAGCCTGCAATGATGCCCCGGTCTTGCCCCAGACTGCTGCCTTCGAAGCTCATTTCTGTACATCTGTACAAACGCGGCTTCAAACAAACCCAATCAAAAAACTCATGAACTTGTCCACCAGCAACCGCTCCGGTAAACGCCTGCTTCGCTCACCAAACCCCCGCTTCACTCACCACAACTGATTTGCTCACCAAAAACACCTGCTTCCTCCACCAAAAGACCTGCTCGCTCCACCAAGACCAGACCCGACCGTGTCACCATCACCAGAACCCAGGTCGCCCCACAAAGGCCAGCCACAGAGCCCAGGTTACCGCCAAGCCCCCCCCCATCCTGCAAAACTATTTCACCCGACCCGACCTCTTTCTCCTCTGACCACCTGACCTGACCTGACCTGACCTCTTCAGGGGGTTAGATCAAAGGATGCATGGGGACCAAGAAAAGCAGGGTTTTATTATTTTGAGTCTTGCCTCACCTAACCTGACCCCTGATAGGTTTAGGGGGACCCTAAACCCTTAACCTTAGACCCTAAACCCTGGACCCCAAACTCGTTCACCTGACCCGACCTCTTTTTCCTCTGACCACCCGACCTGACCTGATCTGACCAGCCCTCTTCAGACCCTACATTCCTTACAAGTTAGGATGGCGCCACATGACCTAAATGGCTAAACCCTAAACCCTAAACTCTATAGGGTTGCTGGGCTCATGGCTGAAGATAATGGCAGGATTCGCACCCATAAACAGCCTATAGCTAGGGGGACCCTAAACCCCCAGCTCTAAACCTTAGACCCTCAACCCTAGACTCCAGACTCCAAACATTTCACCTGACCCGACCCCTTTTTCCTGTGACCACCCGACCTGACCTTACCTGACCTGACCTCTTCTGACTCAACATTCCTTATAATTAGGATACGGCCCAACATGACCTTAACTCTAAACCCTAAAGCCTAGATCGCTAAAACCTGAACTCTAAGCTCTGCAGGTTTCAGGGCCCCTGGCTGAAGATGAGGACACAGCCTATAATAGGGGGTCATATCAATGGCTCTACATACTTAGTTTACAACTGAACAAAAGCGCCTCTGCCGAGGATCTGCGGGATTTAAGGATTCACGGACTAGGGATCTAGGTTTAGGGTGTTTGAATTCAAGGTTTAGGGAGTTAGGCTCTGGCGGCGGTGGCGGTGGCGGTAGGATTGAGACGTTCCGTCGTTTTGGTGGGTGAAGCGTGGTTGTTGAAGTGGGGTTGGTGGGTGAAGCGTGGTGGGTGGAGCATGGTTGGTGTTTCGCACGTAGTTGTGGTTGCGGGGATTAGTCCAACCTCTCCTCCGGCCAGCCCTGAGCCCGCTACAGCTGCAGCTTGAGCCCCCCGCAGCACTTAGCTCTTCTGTGAACATCTTAGTGATAGCCGCGCCGAGGCCTCAAAACACGCGATTTGATGCTGCACCATGCATCAGGGTTTTGAGCGCATCAGTCAAGATGGTGTGAGCCGCGTGCTCACTTCAGCTGCGACAATGCCTTCCATGCAAGAGTACCTCTTGCAATACCTGAGACAACAAACACAGAGTGAATTCATATGAAATCACTTGTTGCCATATTGCATCTGAATTCCCACTGCCGATTAATTGAATTGTTGGCAAGGCGACTTCTAGCAGGCATTCTGCACACTCCTTGTTCCTTCGCGGTGACGAGTCGAACCCAGGCAGCGCGAAATGCTAACTTCTTGAAAGACCAGCCGCGGCCAGAGGGCATGATGGAGAAGTAAACACATCACGTCACAAACTCGCTATGTAGTGCCTGGCTTGAGGGAGCTGTGACATAATCGATGGATCACTGATAGAAAACTGAAGCCCCTGTGGCATCGTTAGCCTCAAGTCTGTGTGTTGCTCTTTTCCTCTGGGGCGGATATGACTATAATGACTCTGAGGAGAGCCATTGTGGGCTCGCATCACCTAATTCGGGTTTGCAAAATCTTCCAAACTGCAACCGCATCGTGAGCCAAGCACCATTATGTAGTCTGCCCCGGAGCCATGCTGAGTCCGTGTTAACAGACTCTGCATCTAACCGCGGATCAATACTACTATCCTGTTGCAGCCTTGCACAAGCAGACTCTGAGTTGAAGATGCGTGTCGCTTTGCGATCGCATCTGCAAGACTTAGACTTGGCATGCTATCGGGCATCGCTGTGCCAGCTGTCGCCGACATCCCGCCGCGTCACTGTTGCCGACAGCCAGGTTGGCATTTCATCTTTGCCACGGGGACCTCCAAGTTGCGAAGGGATGCCGGACTGCATGCTCTGTACCTGAGGCTGTGCCTCTTTCGGAGAAGAGTTCGACGCCGGTGTCCTGGCGAAGCTGAGCAAGGTGGGCAGTCCTTGCAGTTTCTGCACGAGCACAGCATCCTTGAAGCCTTGGAGGGGCTTGTCTTCTCTGCCGGAGCCTGCAGGAGTCTGCATGATTCTACGTCTCCCATGCCAACAGTTCGAGCAACTCCTGCCTGTTCTGGGAAGATCAAGGTGCCCATCCGGTCATCCTTCGAGACTACCGCTCCAGGATCTGGGCGAAGCAGCTGCTGAAACTGCCACGGGCAGACCAGTATTGCCTCTTCACCTGCAGACATGGAGCAAAAATATCTTGGTCAACATGGTCCTCATCGAGCTCAATCGAGAAATCCAGTACCCGTTCTTGCAGTAGTTTTAGGCTGTCTGCTGGGCATAGGCAATCCGCCACCAGAATCGATATTCTGTTCTGGATCCCCGCCTCCTTTGCCTCGCGAGAAATGGACCTGCACAGCTCCAGGGCACATGCTGGTCGAGATGTGCCGGACCTGAAGTCAGACTTCAAGTTCTGCATTGTGATATGTTTGGACTGCATCTGAAACTGGCAGCCGTGACAAGTCCTGCATCTATGCGGAGCTCAAGTGAGACATCTGAAAACTGGCTGAGTGCTTCATGTTGGAAGGCGCCCCAAGCAACTCTCCCAATATCATTAAACCATCACAGCGCTACTAAAACGTCACACTGATAGCCGTCAGGCCGGTGTCATGCCGTCTAGCGGGATTCTTGGCCGAGCTCAAGGGGCCTCGCCAGGATACCACTGAGTGTCCACCAGCACACGGACCCGACAGCCAATCGCGTAGCCGCCGCGGCCTGCAGCGGAGAAGCAGTAAAGCGTGGACTTTGGATACGGTCTGACACGCGTGATCCCAGCCTGCGATGTCCCTGGCCAGCTCTTGACCCAGCATCTTCTGGCTTGGCGGACCCTTCGGCAACTTGGGCTTCTCCTCCAAAGTGCCCAGTCCCTTCATCATTATGGCACGTGCTGCTGAGAAAAAGCAGGTGACTTCAAGTAAAAGGTACTTTGTGAGCGTCATGACGGAGGATTGCATTTGAAGAGCCCGGAGCCTGCCACAAGAGGTGCGGCAAAGGCTGGGTATCCGCCAAGGTGAGCAGATCGCTGCCTCAGTTGATCTCAGTTGGCTCTGGCAGAGAGGATCAACCAGTATCAATTGCGCAGCTGAGAGTGTGGCAGACCTGGTAACAAGTGGGCCTCAAGCCAGGCGCTTGGCCAATCATGGAGCCTCCAAGCAAAGGGCAAAGTCACAGTACTAGGGATTAAGGGAAAATAATTAGTGTTACAGCTGAATTGGATCATCTTGGGTGCCTTGCAACTCCTTCAACGAGCTGGAGAATTTGGAAGGCGTGGCACCCTCCGGCCACCGCTTGCGCATCTTCTCGTGGCTGCCAGGCATCACCTGACCAAACGGAAACTACGGGGGATTATATATAGCTACCTGCTAGAAGGATCCATTCCTTCATTCCTTGCTAACCAGAGGTAAGTGAACAGCGTGAGTAAATTCCATATCGACACCGTGCTCTTAATTTTGGGCCCTGCGCGTACCAATTGGAGGGTGATCAAATTGAAGATGGATGTTCGCTTTCACCCTTCCTCTGCTTGGGGACGCCAAATCCAAAACACGTACAAAAGGGTCTCGAATGACTCGCGTTCAGCTGTTAGTTTCGTGCTGGAATACATTCAAGAGAGTCGTGCAATGACATTGCTTGCCTGAACCGCATGAGATCTATTCACATTAAATAGTTGACATAACGCATGAAGATGGTCTAAGGCATCTCATCTGTGCGTATCCTAGAATACGGCAAAGTGCTCTGGTGTTCTGGGCAACTTGTGCTGTGCATTCCTTGGGCAGCACAGCCCCTTTGTTTGCACGGGGCCACCACCAGTGGCCATCATCCTCAGACCCTTGTCACTGCCTTTGCGTACCAGCTGCAGCAAAAGGATTTGTCCATCATGTCCTTTGTTGTAGGAGGTTTTTTGTGCAAAGGTTGAGGATGGTTGAAGACATAAAGAAATGCACCGCTTCTGTTTGCCACCAACACTCGGTGAGGATACATCCCAGGGAGTACACATCTGCCGGGAAGTCGTACGGCAACCGTGGATCCTTCATCTGGCCTTTGGTTAGCTAGTAATGAAGGAATTGATCCTTATAGTCATGATAGTAGTTTCCGTTTTCTTTTCCATTCCTTCATTCCCAGCTAACCAGCAGCCAGTCATTCAGCTGCGTCTCACACTTATGGGCCCACCTAAGCCTTCAACAAAGTCCTGGATTTCCGGAGCCATGTAGGTCGGGGTTCCCGCCACCGTCATTGCCATTTCAGAGTTCCTGCAGATACCCGGACACGCTTACATGAGGTTTTCATGTTCGACTACAGAATACCAAACCTGCAGAAGAGAAAATGCCACGAAGGTCCTCAAGGATCTAGAGAGACCAAAGTCGGCAACCTGCCAAAGACGGCGTGCAGCATGGACATGTTGCCGGAGCATTCCAATGGCAACGACACACGGCACAAGCACTCTCGGAAGAGTCGAGCAAAGGAGCACAGGAAGTTTGGACGGAAGGAGACGGAGTGGGACGGGCAGAGCAAGAGGAGGAAAGAGAAAGAAGCAGCAGACAGCAGCAGACACTAGTCGTCGGCAGCCCAGGCTTTTGCGCGAGGTTCCCCTGCCTTGGGAAAGCGGTCGCCTTGCCGCAGAAGGATGTTCTCCTGAAAGTACTCCAACGCAGCCAACAATTTACATGAAGTGTATGTGTGCAAGGGGGTCACCCTTCTCGCACACTACGAACCACTTTAGCTTGCAGATCGCCACTGGACAAAATCAGTTGGTGCTGCGCCATCCCTGGCTCAAGCATCTGGGCCAAAGGCCGGCTTGAGGTCGCGATGGACCACTCCCATTTCATGCGCGTGTGCCAGGGCCTTAGATATGTCGCGATCATTTTTGTTCCCAGAACCATGCTGTGCAAAGAACCAGAGGTTACAGAACAATCCTGCGCAACAAGACTCCTGTGCAGGGCATGACACTAATGTGCAGGTCAATGCCCCTGCCTCAAAGACCAATGACGTCCGGCATTCTAAGCTTCCAGCACAGGCGATGTGGAAAATCATGGGCCGAACCAAACTCTCCTGAAGGAACATGATGCGATGCCAGGTGGTCTCGAAGGGGAGCTCTGGGGACCCTTCAGGTTGAGGACTGCGCAGGGCTCAACTGGAGAAACTCCTATGTGTTACAACGGTCTGGAGTGCTAGCAGGAGCTTGACTCTTTCGTCCTCAGGAAGAGTATAGGGTGTAATTGGATGCCTGGAGCGAAGTTGGACACTTGACACGTCAAAACACCTCTGATATAATTTGTTGCATAAACTTGGCATGGCCGCGCAGGCGATCTCATTACTCTCTGCCGAAAACAGGCAAAACCCATGGGCTACTCCAAGCGCTGTCACTGCAAGATACTGCAAGTCCGACAGGCTCATCACTTGCCAGGGCCTGCTGTCACTGCAGTCCAGGCAACGGCGCGACGAAAATTGCACGGAGGCATAAAAGTGCTGACGGTGTCATCAGCGAACATTATCAACTGGAAAGCACATCATGGCTTACAGCGCATCTTGGATGGCGTCTTTAAAGGAAGACGGTGAGTTCCGGCCGCCAGCAAGCCGCGTGACGACACCCAAATGGCTGACGAGGAAGTAGCTTGCAAAATTCCTTAGACTGCTTACCTCATGGAGGTCGTTGTCTTAGATCACCATGAAGCGGACAGGACAAAACAAAGAGTCTGCTCAATCCCAATCGAGCTTCCACTTTATGTCGGAAGCCTCGGAGGACTCCTTCAGGAATTTGTACACGGGATGAGTCCCGGGTCCGTTCACATCCACCTTTTCCATGAGGCAGAAGCCTCATCCATAATGTCTGCACTGGCATCTGCTTGCTGCATGACATGAAACAAACAGCAAGTCTTGATTGACTTTCTTGCCTGAATCTGGATCATCAACAGGAGCGCCCTGCTGTTTCACGAAGGCTTTGATCTCCGATGGGCTGCCTGGTCGGCAGAGTAGGCTCAGGTGCTTGTGCTGTGGCTGCGGTCACTATGCAAATATATACGCATTGACCCACCTGGCTCTTGCTGCCCAAACTGGTTGCAAGGAAAGGCCAGCACAACTAATCGGCCGGAGAAATGCTTGTTCAACTCCTTGGAGCGCGGACTACAGAGCACTGCCCTCGAAAATTCTCTGAAAAGAATCGTGAAGGACTGTAGGGGTAGCTAAAGAGGAGGTCTACAAAGAGTTGGGGAGTTGAACGCATAAACTGGCCTTACAGCATCTTTGTGCTGATGGCTCTCATTCCTTTGACAACCTACTTACAGTTTCTCAACCTCTCTCTCTCGGCGGCTGCAGGTGGTGTTACTCCGGACGTCTAGATACCTGAAGGGCAATTGGCTTAGCTCACATCTCCTAGCGCTGCTGACTTCAGGTGATCAACCAACCTTTCTGCGCATCAGCCCTGCCCAGCGGCAATCATCTCAGCATAGTGCTTCTTGGTAAAGCCTCAGCGAGAAGCCACATTGGCAACCAGAACGGCTCGGCCCTGCAAACTTGCGAAGTGTACCGGGTTCCTCGGACTGTCACAGCCCACAATTGCAAGTTCAGCAAATATGACAAAACAAAGAAACTTAAGGTGACTTAGCCAATTCAGTTGCGACGCCCGTCAATGTCATTAGCAGTGAGGCCATAAAAGCCCTCGACGGCACTGCACTCGGTACCTGATAGTGCACTTCCATTGCCTGGCGTTTGCGCAAGTCTCTACGGCGCATTGTGAGTCTGAGCCGCCCGCTGCAAAGACATCTCGAGATCTGGCCAAGCCTATGTATCCACCTTTTGCTGGACGAAGCCATTGTTCGGCAAGCCCGGTTTGGTGGCAAACCTATGTGTCTTGAGCCCAGCTGCAAGGCACGCGAATTGGCAGGTTTATGCCTCGAAGCTGTCTTTTTGTAGCGGGGTCTGTAGCGAATTACCGTGTGAATGTTAACACAAAAACAAAACTTCCCAAGTGTCACCTGACCGCCGGATTGCAAAGGGGCCACGGTTTTTACGCATGTTGTGGCAGCAGGACCAAGATAGCGCAGTCGCGCACCCCCCTCTACCCTTCTCCCTGCTGTCCTCATACAGCTGTGGCTCGCCCGTCAGCGAAGAGAGCAGGTCGCCCCCGGAGACCAACTCCATGGCCTCTGGTGTATTTGGAAGAACTTCATGTTGCAACATGTCATGACTCATACCCATCAGTTGCCTTACTCTACTGCCCCAACATTTGGGCCGCAAAGCATGACGCGACTGAAAGGCCCCTCCAAGATCCTCCCTTCCGTGTACATATAGGAGCAATGATTTTTGCTTATAAATTAAAGCTTCTGACGCATCTCGGATCATGGGGCCTAATCTCTTTTACATAGTTGGACAAGTTGAATCTGTCTAAGAGAAGAAAAGATGCGATCCGTTTTGTAATGTCGAGGATGCGCTTATGTTGCAAAGACACATGGTTTCTCGAGTTCATGGAAAGGGTTGATTCCGCAAAACGTGCCAAGTGTGTTATCACGTGGCAGCAAAAAGTACCAGAGCGTTAGCCATGGTTGCACAGGAAGTTTCTAAGGGGCTTAACGCAGCATCATTGAAGCCGAAACCCTAAACCCTAAAAACCTAAATAGCATCATTGGGGCCATTGCAATGATCATGGAGTCGCTGCTCTTGTCCACCAAGGCTTCGAGAAATCGGACCTAGTCCGGCGAGCAGCAAAGTCAGTTAATATGTATATAGATCGGAGAATGGACAAGAAAATGGAAACTACTATAATGGGCTATACAGGGATTATAGGGTATGTGTTGGGGTTTTGTAATGGAAGCCACTATATTATAATGGGGTCTACCTCGGGTTGTATAGAGGTATGTAAGTTTATTGTCCCAATAACGGAAAATACTTCCCATATGGCCAATGGAAACAAATGGGAAATAATCACGCATGAAATGCAAACCACTACATGCGGGGGATGTGAAAGGCTTTTGCAATATCATACATATATATATATACACACATATATACATATAGCTAATGGAAAATCAAAAACCGGGAACATGGAGAATGAAATGGGTACTACTGTTTCATCTAGGTATGAACGTTGCTGTTTGTAGCAGAGTATGGTGAATGCTACCGGAGCGTGGTGTATCAGTAAGTGTTCGCCTCGGCCTGGGAACGTCTGAGATCGTCTTTGATTTTGCCGCTACTTCGTGGCTAATTACTTGCTCGGCCCTACGTCCCAAGCGTGATATGATTGCATGACAGCATCACAAAGATGTGCCAAGATCCCCGCAATGCTGGGATGATCCAACAGCTTCAGGATGTTGATCTCCTGACCGACGCGGGATCCACGCCCGTCGCATAGCAAAGAATTTACGCCATGCCCCCAGCACTGCCTGCTCCAGCATTGGCTCAGCAGAGGATGCATTTTCTGAGACCTTCAACCACAAACTGACTTGCGTTGGAAGGGCTAGAGACTGCGTCACTACGTAAGGGAAGCCTTCAGCGCCACTTCGACGTTGTCACGCCGCCGACAGCCACGGTAGACAACGCCGAAGGCGCCTTGCAGCAACAGCTGTGGGTACAGTTGGGCGCAGAACTTGAGCCCTCCCGTCTTGCGTTCGCCTTTTCCGAGCGCGCCAGCAGGAAGACTCGCCTTTGGCGGTGGCACCTTGAGCACTGAAACAATTCTGGACTGAAAGCCTCCATGGTCAGTTAAAACAGCAGACTGCTGAGCAAAAAAATGGTCTCTGCTGCAAATCGTAGCACCTCGCGAGCGATTGCGTAGCCATGCCCGAACAGGAACCTGTCCTCGACAAGTTACTCGGCATCCGCATCAGGTAGCTGCACGATTCTGCACTCTTGCGCTGAGGCTTCTTCCAAGTGCTCCTCTGCGGGCTTAGCTCCCAGAGGCAGTTTGAGCGCCTGAAATTTTCACCGCTGACGCGGGAACCGCTTCAACATGCTTCAACTAACTTCTGTTCTAACTCGCTCTGCGCAGCTCAACATACGATACAGCATTTACAGCTTTTCGGAGCTCGGACAATGTAGAATTACTGTGCCTGTGTTTGTCTATGTAATTGAAGTCCTTGCGCAGGGGGGGGGGTGTCTGATGAAGCATGTCCGCCTCCTTGGAGTTGGGCAGGCGCGTCTGCAAGTTAACGTCCTGCCGAGCTGGTGGTCAACACTGCTCTGCCAAAGTGTGATCGGCCGTTCCTGGGCGCCCGGTGTTGCTGCATACATCGTCTGGTAGTTGACGTTGTTGACCGAGTCCTGGAAGAGCCCAGAAGCTGCGAATGAATCAACCAACCCCTCAGCTCCGTGCCTCAGAAATAGGCTTCTGCTCAGAGACTGGCATTGATGGGGGCATGGAAGGCGAAGGCGTTGGAGCTGGCAATGAAACAGAAGAGGGTACTGAGGGGACTGTGGGCGTTGCATCTGGCTCTTCAGCGGCGGCTTCCTCGCTTGGCTCTCCTGTGGCCGGCACATCCGGGGCATCGGGCCCACCAGAAGGCGTGGCACCTGCAACATGACGGGCGAGAGAGCAGCTTTTAGCATGCTGTGCTTAAATACGTGTCCCAAGCAGCACAAGAGCATGGCACCTTCCGTTTCTGCCTTCTTCTGCTCCTGACCATCCTCGTCCTCTGAGCTCGATTCATAGCTGCTCTCCGACTCGGCACCTTGACCTTCTTGGCCTTGGGGCTGGGGGCTCGCTTGGACGATGCTGTGACTTGGCGGTGCTGGCCCTCCAGGGGGCGCATACGCCGGGCTATAGCTCACGGAAGGCGGAAGGGGCATGCCAGGCATGCCAGGTGCAATTACTGGAGGGGTTGAGCCTGGCAGCCCAGCCATTTGATAACCTGCAAGCGGTTGCATCATTGGCTGCACTGCAGGCGCAGCTACAGCAGGTGCGGCAGCTGGGTTGGTGTAGAAGGTGAACTGAGTCTGCCCAGGAACCGCCTGCAGAACAAGAGTAAAGAGCAAAGGTTGCTGTCGATTCTCATTTCATGTTCCTGCCTGGGCAAAGCTCAGGCTCTGAACCACAGGTTGACCAGTGGCAAAGCCAGTTGCCGGTTGGAGCGGCTGAGCGGGGTGGGCATACTGCGTAGTAGCAGCATGGTGGTAGGTTGGATGCATGGCCAACACAGACTATCGCAGGTCAGCACGGGACATGGCGGGTGGCTGAAGGACACTTTGATGGGAGTCGATGCTGGGTCGATGTGCTATTCAGGAAGCTCAGGGAAGTTCGGGGCTGAAGTTGGCGGGCGCTTTTAGGGTGGAACTGCACATTGTTCTGATGTTGCATGGCCGGACAGCTGCGGAAAAAAAAA